CCTGCCCCACCCCACCCCCTGCTTTTTCCCTTCATGTGATTCTTAGAAAACTGACTGAAGCCACTTGGTGCTGCCTGTATGCCCATGGTCCAGGGCCTTCTAATGGAGCATGGGTAGTTTCTCCGGGGCCACATCCCCAAAAACACCTGCTCTCCCACCCCAGCAGCCATCAATTGCCAATAGCTCCTCAGACAGGGGTGGAAGTTCATGAGCCCCTCTCCCATCCATGTCCACGTTGGGATTTTGACTGGCATGATCTTCTGCAGGTCTTGTGCATGCAGTTACAGCTGCTGTGAATTCTAATAGCCTTGTCATGTCCAGCAAGTTCTGTCACTATCTGAGATTATTTCTTTATGTTTTAATCATGGTAAGACAAGGCTAAATAAAAACCAAATACTTGTTCCAGTAGATCTTCTGCAGGTCTTGTGCATGCAGTTACAGCTGCTGTGAATTCTAATAGCCTTGTCATGTCCAGCAAGTTCTGTCACTATCTGAGATTATTTCTTTATGTTTTAATCATGGTAAGACAAGGCTAAATAAAAACCAAATACTTGATTATAATGGCTGCTGTCATACTGAATCATTTAGTTCGGCAGGGACTGATTCTTTATCTGGGATGGAAAATGGGAGGGAGAACATAGCTCGGTGCCTGACTTCAGTGATCTACTGGAAGCCCCTAAGAAGGAAACTGAGGCAGGACTTACCAGCTGGGCTCTCTGCCTAATGTGACCTAACACTTTCATGGCCACTGTCTTTTAGATTCATCCAGCAAAGATAAAATTTACACTCAACTTTTCTCAGCTTCCTTCTTCTGCCAAAGATACCGCACAAGCTTTCCAAGTTTACTGATTCCAGGTCAAGTTTCACATCCTCCTATTTCCTTCTCTTAATTGGAGTTTCAAGTGAAATCTAGTCCAAAGGGGCCCAAGAAATCATCTTTATTCCCTAAGATATGCCATTGTATATAAACAGCAGGCCAAACCACAATAGAACTCGTGATATTGGGGACAAAACTTGAAACCTTACAGCAAGGTTGCTCAACTTTGGCACAACTGGTATTTGGTCCAAGAAAATTATTTGTTATGAAAGCCGCAACTGGCCAAAATGTAGAGCATAAGAGACTGCAGAGTGCACGTCCTTGGATAGGTCTCCTATATTAAACCTCATCCACTCGGGGCTCAGCGGCCATTGCAGAAGAGGAAGCAGGAGTGATGGATGACCACCAGGAAACAGAGTTGTCCAGGCTTCTGGGAACTTGCTCATATGGACTTACAGCAATGATGACAACATGCACAAGACGCATGTAAACTCAATCAGACAAAAAAACCAGCATAGAACTGGGGAAATGGGTGAAGAGCCACAGCCTCAGCTGAGGAATTATCACTGCTGGGTGAGGGAGAGTTGATCTTCTTTAAGGGACTGACACTAGACAGGCCAGCCATGCTCCGGTGCATGAGCTCACACGGAGGGACATCTGGACGCACAAACTTGACTCCATAGGCCTTAACATACACGACAGAGTGCATGGAATTCAGTGGGGAGGGGTGCTATGGGGAAGTACAGCTAGAAGAGGGGTCTAAATATGATTAAGATGCATTCTATGAAATGCATAAAAATTCAATAAACTATATATTGAGTAAAAGAGAAATTTTTTGTGTGGGTATGCATTCCTGTGCATTTTAGGTTGTTTAACAGACCTTCCTGGTCTCTACCAACTAGAATAGGAGCAACCTAGTTGACAAGCTCATCTCCAGACATTACTAAATATTACATGTGGGGGAAATCATATCTCGATAAGAACCACTATTTTCTTTTTTATAAAAGCTATGAGTTTTCTTCATAAACTGCTTATGAAGTGTCCACTAGGTAGGTTAAACTAAATAAACATGGTTTAGTCTTTAAAATTCAATTCTATATTATTATAGCTTGAAAACACTTTATTACCACAATATGCTTTTGAAGACCCCAAACCATCATTCCATTGTTTAGAAGACAAACACTAGGTACCTTCCTTCCACTTTTTAGAGTTGCACAACACACTAGGCTAGCCCACCCAGGCCTCTGTGGATACATTAGGGTCCAGCTTACAGTAAGTGCGAACACAAATTGTTGATTATCAGCCTCTTATGAAGACATTGGGAAAAGATTATTTGCTATTTGGTCACTGAACACTGACCCCATGATGCTCTGTTTTGATTTCAGTTTTATAAGTAATATAAGCCTTTCATAACTTGTAAACTAAATTTTAAGTCATTCCTTTGACCATAACCTATTTACCTTTAAAATCTGTCTTCATCACTCTAAATTTTTATCTCAGCAACGTGATAGCTTATACTCTTATAAACCCCATAATAAATTGCTTCATAATCTTTTTATTTATGACATTTGAATATTTCTCTGGTTTTCAAAGATTCCATTGTTTTTCTTTTTAAATCAATGCATGTTTCAGAGAGCTTCTGGCCTCAGACCCTCATGACGTGGAGAGCTGTTGCTCTAACCTTCCCTTGGATGATTGGCAGACATGACAGAACAGAAGCCAATTAAAAGCATACATACTTGCTCCAGTGAACTTTGCCTTCCAGGGTCTGCATCTCTCCGAGGATGGCAAGGAGAAGGGAGGATTTCCCACATCCCACTTGGCCCACGATCATGGTTAACTGGCCTAGAGAAACACAGCAGAGTGTGACAATATGGTGAGCAGGACTTCTCTCAGCAAAAGGAAATTAAAATGTGGTCATGACCGTGGCATGCCCAGAACCCCAGTACTAGGAACACAGAGGCAGGAAAATCAGTGCAAGTTCAAGGATAGCCTGGTCTTCATTGCAAGTTCTTGGCCAGTTGGAACTCATAGTGAGATGCTGCTCAAAAACCACAATAAAAGCCACAACAACAACAACAACAACCTCACCAAAATAAGTAACCACACAAATAAAACAAAATAAAATTAAAACATATTTAGAAAGGACTGTTTGAATTGATAATCCTGTTTGATTTCAAGCAGTAGGGTAATCTAAACAGGTCCTTTCCCTGTCTTTTTGAAAAGCAAAGAATGAAAATATATGAGTTTTGACTTCTTATCATTGTTATTTTAAATTTTTTAATTTATTTATGTATTTTATGTGTATGTGTTTATTCCTAAGTGTATGTATGTGCACTGAGTGCGTGCAGATGCCTGTGGAGGCCAGAAGAGGTTGTCAGACCCCTTAGAACTGGAGCTACAAACAGTTGTGAGCCACCAATGTGGGTGTTGGGAACTGAACTTGGGTCTTCTGCAAGAGAAGCCGTCTAACCCAAGCCGTCTCTCCAGTCTCCATATCTTGTTTTAAAAAATAATGTCTCATGTGGCCCAGACTGGCCTCAAATATAATATATAGGCAAGGATAACCTTGAATTTATCATCCTCTTGCCTCTACCTCCTGAGTGCTTGGATTACAGGAATGTGCAATTACATTTAGTTTATGTCCTACTGGGGATGGAATCCAGGGACTGGAGCATGCTAGGCAAGCACTGTACCAAATGTGCTGTATCTAAGCTCCTTGAGGCATTCTTTTCAAGATGCTAAATAGCTGATATAACTAAAGAACACAATGACTTAATCCTTAAAATCATCTCTGTTAGGTTTAACTCTACTATTAGGTTCACTCAGAAGTAAAAAGAGCAGTTTTCATAAACACTGGTGATTGAGGTGACTGTGATTGGGCTGTTATTAAGACTCTGCTTCTCACTTTGACTTCCACGTAGAAAACTTCTAAACTCACCATTACATTGGGTAGAACAAATATTTCTCTTCCATTATTCAAACATTTTATTATTATTTAACATTATTGTGATTTCATATTATTGTTATTATTCCTACATACTTTGTTCTTGTGGGTGCTATTATAAATGGATTGTTTTCTTAATTTCCTTCCTGGGTACTTTGTTGTTAGCAAACAAATATGTAGAAATAAACTAAACAACAAGAAGAAGAGCTCTACAATGAAAATCTATAAAATAGCAACAGAGTAAACAGAGGGAAACACAGATATAGATGGAAATACACATGATGCTCACGAATTTGACAAATTAATGTTGTTCAAATGTCCATGCTCCCCAAAGCAAACCATGGATTGGATGTAACCTCTGTCAAAAATCTCTGTGATGTCTTTAAGAGAAATTGAAACAACAATCTTAAAATCAGAATACATTGCGAAGAGCAAATTTTCAGTTATCATACTTTCTGACTTCATCACATATCGCTGTTTCAGTAATGTGTGTGGCACTGACATGAACACATACATACTGACCAATGAAATAGAGATCCCAGAAACAAACCCACATGTACCCAGTCCACTGGCCTGCAAGAGGAGCTTCAGGATCACATGATGGGAAAAGGGTGGGACAGCGATGGTGTTGTGAAGACTGAATGCCCAGATGCAGAGGAATGAAATTAGATTGTTATTACATCACACACAAGTTCAGCTCACAGTGAATTAATGACTTAATTGTCAGATCTGAAGCTATCAAAACCCTCAAAGAAAATATAGGGGAAAACCTTCTTGATATTGATCTTGGAAATGATATTTTGGGTTTTAAAATGAAAAAAAAAGAGGTAACAAAGTTAAAAATAACAAAACGAGAATGTAAAAATGGAAGCTGCACAGTAAAGAAAACAGTGAATGGAGGAAAAATTAAACAACTGAATGAACTTGCACACTTTCTGTCTAATAAAGAAAGAATTAAAATTCAAAGTGTACAAGAGTCCCATACAACTCAATAGCAGAAAAATAAAATAAAACAGAATAACCTCATTAGAAGTGGATGAAGAATTGAAGAGTTATTTTTTCCAAAGAAGACATGGAAGATCAAAACTAGACTGAAGTATTACGTCGAGACTTTTAGGATAACTGTTATTTGAAGACCAACAAACAAAAATAAATAAAAATACATTAGCAAGATATGGAAAAACGGAACCCTTTGCATCCTGTCACTGGAAATGTAAAACTAAGCAGCCACTATAGAAAACAGTATGAAAGTGACTCACATATTCAAAGATCAACCCTGTGATCCACCAAGTTCACCTCTGAACATTCTCACAAAATAATTAAGATTTTAGAGAGATGTCTTCCTCATTGTAGAATTATTCACAATATCAAAGTAGATAGAAACAACGCAATATCCACTGACAGGTACAGGTGAGAAAATATGTTACATACATGTAATGAGATACTCATCTTTTAAAAAGAATGAAATCCTACCATTTCAACAACACAGACAAACCTAGGGAACCATTTTGTTGAAGTAAAATCAGCAAGGCAAAGAAAGGCAAATTCTGCACGATTCCATGCACATGAATCATTTCAGAGTCAAACTCACAGAACCAAAAACTACCATGGTGTTTTCTGGTGGCTGGATGAAGAGGACCAGGGGGCTGGGGGGATCTGCTGCTGCTCATGAATGCAGAATTCCATTGTGTAAGATCCAAAAGGTCAAGGCATCTGCTGCTCAAAGTAGTATCTAGAGCACTTGATTTTTTTCATAATAAGATTTTATTTTTATTTTATTTGTAGGAGCGTTTTGCTTGATAAATGGAAGTGTACCACATGCTTGCAAACCTGTAGAGGCTAAAAGAGGATGTCGGATCCCTTGGAATTGGAGTTATGGAGAATTGTTAACTGCCTTTTGGGTCCTGGGAATCGAACTTGGGTTCTCTGCGTGAGCAGCCAGTGCTCTTAACCTCTGAGCCATCTCTCCAGCCCCCTATAGCACTTTAAAGTATGACAAGAGCTCTCATGTGGTATTCTTCCTACAATCTTTTTAAATAAAACTAAAAAACAAAATAAAAAGTCATTTTTGGAAGTGGTGGTATATTTAGTTCCTTGATTGCAATGGTGATACCAGAGGCATATTTATAGATCCAAAATGAAATGCTAAATACATACAGTTATTTTATATCAGTTATACATCAATAAAAATTAAAGATAAGCAAATTAATGGACAAAACGATTGAATGAATTCCTTAAGAATTTGAAAACATTATCAGGATTTTTCAGGGATTCAAAACAATTTTCTCACATAGTTATCTTTAAATATTCTCTGAAACAAAATGAGAAATCATAACACTGTTCTCTAAATGCCACAAATCACCAAATGAACAGTAAATAACTTGTCCAGAGACACAGATTCTTAATTGACAATCCTATTTTATAATTTCTAGTTCACAGTGCTACAGTGACTCATAAGCAACCCAGTTCACATCAGCAAATATAACTGATGTTTATGTCTCTTAAAACTCTTTTCATAGGACTGGGGAGAAGACTCAGTGGCTCAGCACTTGTGATGACTGGAGTTCAGATCCCTAGGACTCATGTAAATGTGAGGTAGATTTGTGGGTCCTGCCTATAATTCCAGCCTCAGAATGTGGAGACAGTGGATCCTCAGAGCTATTGAGACAAGCCATAAGAGTGAGCTCTGGGTTTGATTGAGAGGCCCTAATTCATTGAATAAGGTAGAAGAGCCATCAAAGATGATTCCTGACTTCAGACCTCCATATGTATGCACATCCATGTGCACATACCCCCACACACAAGTGCCTACATAGATGCAAACATGTACACACTCACATGCACACCCTCCCCACACAAAATGGAAAATAAGTAAAAATAAACAAGAACTCTTTTCATTTTTGTTAAGTTCAATTGTCTTGGAAAACAATTACAGAAGCACACGACCAATGAGTCTTACCTGTTGGAATTCGAATGTCTATATTGGATAATGTAGCTAAGCCACTGCCCCATGAAAAGTACCCATCTGTCACCTAGAAAACAAGAACATAAAAATTAAATTAGATATATGGTACTAGAGAATAAGTAAAATACAATGTGTTTCTAATGAGTTAAAACTATAAATAGCACAAGATACAGCACAAAGTGGTAAATCCCAATTTAAAGTTGTGTTTAGTATATAAATAAGTGAAATTGAAGGCCACAGAGATGGCTCAGTAATTAACGGTAGCCACTGCTCCTGCAGAGGACCTGGGTTCAGTTCCCAGGTCCCACATCAGGCAGCTCACAACTGCTTGTAACGCCAGTTCCAGGGGATTTGATCCTCTCTTTTGGCCTCTGTGGGCTCCTGCACACACATGGGGCATATAAACGCATGGAAGCACACACACGCGTGTGCATGCACACATGCACACACATGCACACACACAAAAGTAATAAATAAATAAATATTTCTTTTTAAAAATGGACTTGAAAAGAGCAACTTTCAATTAACTACACTATGAAGAATGCTAGTGACTAAAGCACTTTTCTTTGAAAATTGGATTTACCAGATCAGTTACATGTCAACACTCTTTAAAGGAAATAATCTGAAATATTTTCCAGGAAAAAAATCCCTATATGGATTATTTTCTCACTACCAGACAATCCTTAGAATAAAGAATAGAAATCAACCCTGCCAGGTGACCGTTAACTGAGGAAGTTTGTGTCACCAACAATACAGATTTGTTGTTTTCCATTGGTGTTAAAAGAAAGAGTAAAGAACAGCAGGAAAGCACAGAAAGGAGGCAATCCTGTGGTAGAGACCATCAGCAAAGACCACAAGACCTTGTTCTGGTCCCTGATAATCTGCTTTAACAGGCCGTGAGTGGGCTGGATAGTTTTTTTAAATATGTTTTATTTATTATTTTTTAAATTTTATTATATGTGTATGAGTGTATTACCTGCATGTATGTAAGTGTACCCATGTTGTGTAATGCCCATGGAGGTCTGAAGAGGGTATCAGATCCCCTGGAACTAAAGTTACAGACAGTTGTTAGCCACCATGTGGCTGGGTCCTCTGCAAGAATAACCAGTGCGCTTAACCAGCCCCAACTTGATAGTTTTAATGGTTACAAAATGTGAACTGCAAGAAAGCATAGCAGAACCCAAGAATCAAGAGAATGAAGCAGGAGTGTGGAGGAAAGTTGCCAGAAAAACCAGGGGAAACTGAGTCACAGACAGCTCCCACTCCCCAATCAGTACTGAATTTCAAAGCCATCATGTGAAATTTCTAACCAGGTTACTCCGGGAATTTTTGAAAACTTGACCAATGCCTTCAGAAGTATAACTGAACATAGCCATGGGCATTCTCAAATATGTCAGTAAAGAAAAGCTCTGCTTTAAATGTCAAGATTGGGCTTTCCCTGTGCGTTTTTGCAATGTGCATGGTGATGCGCATTTAATGTGCATCAATAGAGTTTCTTTTTGTTTATTTTTAAATATACTTATCAAAATACAAAGTATTAGGTTTCATTATGGCATTTTTCCAGTAAAACTTGTTTTGTGGATTCTCTGCATGCCCCCCCCCGTCCTTTTCTCCCTCCAGATCTCCTTGTTCCTCCATGTCATCTGTGAATAGAATGCGAAGAAGAGGAGTTGGCTGGGGCAGAGATGAACATACTGTGGTGGAGGTGTGTGACAAAGAACTGTGAGGTGTGAGGTAGAGGGTGCCTTTTAACTCAGAGAGTATAGAGGTAAAAAGAGGTGCAGAAATAGACGTGTCTGGAAGAATGCCGCCATGAAGTGGAGAGAGGTACAGCATGATTCACTAAGAACTCCAGCCATTGGGCTGCAGTACTCTGCAGAGGGAGGGGATGGAGGGAACAGTAGAGTTGAGCAGCTGCTGTAGGTTTGGGTGAAAAGGGTTACTTAGAACTCCTAAGGGTCACTGAGGGTGGAGAGAAGGAGCCTTGGGCTGTTACAAGTTGTGTCCTGGAATCATTTTTCTCCATAGCCCTCCATACCCTGGTTATAGTTGTGTAAAAGCAAGAGCTAGTTTACTACAAAAATGCACTAAAGGATTAGGGGGAAAATAAAAGTCTCAAGATGTTGCAAGCTTCAAAGAGTTTAAAAAACAATCACCGAGAAAGCCAGGGAATAAGCGTGTCTGGTTGGCATAAAAAAAAAAAAAAAAGAAAGAATTTGGGGCTGGAGAGAAGGCTCAGCGGTTAAGAGCACTGACTGCTCTGGCAGAGGACCCAGGTTCCATTCCCAGCACCCACATGGCAGCTGCGAACCAT